ATACCTTTGAGGAGTGCAACACGGCCTGAGCACAGCGCGGGAACAAAAAAAGATTTAAAATTTACGTGGGGCATTACTGTGAATGAACACTCAAGGCTAAGTGAGTCTTATGATTTATGTAAAGTCTATGCACTTCTAGAGGGAACATTCAAAGACAGTGAGGCGAACAGGCCTGTTTCCAGTCTTAAAGGCACACCGTCTCATAGCCCCGAATAGCCCAGACGCTGCCACGAGTGCTAACCTCATCCTGCCTTTTTCCACCCAATTTCTCCTCTTCTTTCAATTTTTACATTTCCAGGGTAAGGTTATACAAAAATGATCTCTTTGAAGATCGAGCTCAAAGGCGCTTGAATAATCTGACTAAGAGTGAGCGTCATGCTATGAATTTTATATCCACTCAGGGAGAGCAAATCTTCTCAGTGTTAACTTACTTCTGTCATCTAAATTAACTATTCCTTTAGGCTGGCTGAACGGGCTCCTGCATTACTGATGTGGCATGATGATAAGTTGGCCCTTCAAGGCTACTGTTTGGGGGAACAACTGAAAGAGAGCTGGATTTATAAAGAGATGATCACTTTATATGTTGTTTGTATTCAGGCCATTTAAAACGTCAAATAATTCAAGGCCTTTACTATACCACTGGAAATTCATAATCCGATTAACCGTGGCCAATTTTAAGCACATTTCCTTATGTGATTCCGTCTTTTAAGTGCTATTCAAGATGGAGAACGACTGCAGAAACAACTGTTGAGTGCATTAAAAAAAATGTGCTGTGAATCTTGAAAAAAAAAACTTGCAGACTGCTCAGCAGCACACTCTCCTGTGTTTGTAATTTTAATCATTTCCTGATATCACTGTATTTATCTGTTATGTCAGAGTTTGCTCAAAAAAAGACTACTGCTGCCACGTTTCTCAACCTCCCTAACCCTACTCCACAACAAGGACAAGCTGCCAGCTTTTTTTCTTTTATCTGAAAGCCTCTCACTCACTCTATCCCCTCTTTTGCTCCCTCTCTAACCCTCTCCCTCTCTCTCGTTTCATCCCAGCATACTGACGTTAATCCAAATCTGGATTTCCAGATATTAAAAGGCCGGCGGTCATAGCGTGTTTTGGAAAGAGGAAACTGGGGAATTGGGTCTTCCTGTGTGTCTCGGTGGAGATAAAAACACAAGGGGATAAAGCAATGACAGGACGAAGAACAAAGAAACTCCCATTCCACTGCTAATGATTTAGTGGAACAAACCGCTTCAATGTTAGTGGCCCAGAATGCCGAAAGAACTGGTCATTGCATGAAGGAATGTTGCTTTTTTTTAATAAAGCGGTCGGCTCCAAAGATGTTTTTTGTATGATTTAAGGCCCTCTTTGTGGGTGTGGATCATTGGCCACAGAGTGACTAGTGGGAGAACAAAAGATCTACAGCTGCTGAAGTCATAAGAGAAACCAGGTGCCAAATGTTGATGTTGGGAAATATCTACAGCACAAATGTATCAGCCAAGAGCAAGCCTTACAGGAGAAAGAGCTGGCCCGCAACAAAGGCTCCCGTTCCAATAATACACACATACCATTACTGCTAGCACATCAACATACGTGTATAAACGCACACACTTACATGTACACAAATGCACACAGATTTCACAAGGACATTCGGGGTAGAGTGGAAGGGCTGTCCCTGAGGTGCTGCAAGGAGAAGAGTGGGAGATGTGTGAGAAATACAGTGCTGACTGGCTGAGACGACACAAGCTTAGGCTAGAGTGCGATGCGGTGGTCTATATTTATTCTCAGGTCTGCTAAATGAGGTCACCCAGGTGGTCCTGCTGAATACATTCCCCATCTCCATCATGAATCATCTGCTGCTTATTATTCCTGTCCAGCCCGGGGGGGGGCTTGCAACAGCGCAATGGGCTGTGTGTACCTGTGTGGGCATGTGCTCAAGTGTCTATGGGCACGCGCGCGTGCTTGCGTGCGCAACATCTGCCCAAAGCACCGAACGAGGGGACACATCCAGCCCATGTGACAGACAGAGAGCAGGTTGTTTAATGAGAAAGTGGATGAGAGGTGACATTCATTGGCTACCTTTCACACACCGCCCCCCCATTCTCCACAGCATTCAGACTTCCACTTAGACGAGCTGAGCAGGGACCGGGTAGTCACAGTAACCACCAGTAATAATGTCAACATTTTTCAAACAAAAAAAGATGCTAAATACATAAACAGGCACAACCACAATCTGATCACTCACACTTAGCATCAAGGAAAAACACCAGCACACAGAGCTGTTTCATCCATTTGAGGCAAAGCGGGGAGCTACACACAGCCGTGTCAGGCATGTGTGTCTGTATCAAACAGAGCGCCACAACAGAAATGGCTATTTTTCATACCTGCGATATTGCTATCCTGGTTTTTATTTACATTTGCGAAACAGAGTGTGCGAAGTGGGGAGAAGGAAAGGAGAGCCTATTTGCACAAAATATTTCACTCCCGAATGAGCACAGAGAGGGTTAGATTAGGTTTATGGGCCCGATTCCAGAGATAACCCTCCCCAGCAGATCTGGCATGCATGCAAGCACTCACGTGCACACACACACACACACACACACACACAAATATACAGAGTGAGGTTGGCAGACTGGAATAATACAGGGGGATCTAAATGTTTGCACTTTGAACCTTTTCTAATCCTGAGTATTAGGGAATAGCTAAAGCCTGATTATGGCGGAATGAAATGGATCTAAATAGATGTCCAAGTCCATCAGCCCTCCATTTCTTTGTCCTAGAAATAGAAATGGAAGTCCGTAATCAACCTCCAACCTCTCACTCGACGTCTCTCCCACGTAGCCTCCTGCCCAGGTTTGGCATAGGCAAAGAAAATTCATTCAGACTTTTCATATCATCTCAGATGAATTTGGCGCACTTGGCCAATGTTTTCTTCTTGTATTTCATTTCAATAATAAAACCTGGCAGACAATATAAAATAGTCATATATTCTGCGCTAGTGCTACACACTTTTTATACTATTTTTAAAACCCAATATTGAATTTCACTTAGAATACATGTGGTTTTGAGTAGTGTGCAAGGACACGGCAGAGTTTTTTCATCTTCATTTTCAAGAACGGTGCTTCTAACTCCCATTTTTGCAGAGCATCACCATGTAGCAGCTCTTATATCGCCGCGTGCTGCCTGTTCCCAGGAGCCACTTTGCTGCGTGTACAGTAAACAGGTACCAGCATTAGTGTCAAGGTTTAAGGTGGTTAGCGG